TGGAGAAATGTAGCATTGCATCACTTGCTCACCAATGGATGCTCTGCAGTGAATGGGTGCCGTCAGAATGAGAGTCCAAACAGCTGATAAACACATCACAATAATCCACAAAAAATCCACACCACTCCAGTCCATTAGTTAAAGCCTTGTGAAGCCAAAAGTTGCGTGTTTGTAAGAAACAAATCCATTATTAGAGCTTTTTTAGTTTCAAACCATTTCTTCTGGCCAAAATAGGAGTCTATAATCCATAATAACGCTTCCTCTAGTGAAGTCCATCTCCTGTTGTCCTCCCACATCAAAATCCACCCACATATTTGTTTAGATCTGTTTTGGGCTGTTTTAGCTTGTAAACAGTGCTTGATCTGTGCAGATTTCTCTCCTGATTCAGACGAGACGACTTTTTCACTGGAGAAAGCAATATTATGGATTATGGGCTCGCATTTTAGCCAGAATCAGAAATCAGAATCAGAATCAGAAAGAGCTTTATTGCCAAGTGTGTTTACACACACAAGGAATTCGTTGTTAGGAGCTTCGGTTTGAAGTTCAAATGATGGATTTGTTTCCTACAAACACACAGCTTTTCACTTCACTGATGTACTGGAGTGGTGTGGATTACTTGTGGATTATTGTGATGTATTTATCAGCTGTTTGGACTCTCATTCTGACGGCACCCATTCACTGCAGAGGATCCACTGGTGAGCAAGCGATGTAATGCTACATTTCTCCAAATCTGTTCCCATGAAGAAACAAACTCATCTACATCTTGGATGGCCTGAGGAAGAGCAAATTTCCAGCAAACTTTCATTTTTTTCAAGCATAAACACACTTAATCTTTACACATTTTCAGAAACTTTTCAGAGACTTGATATCTAAATGTATTTTGCTTCTGAAGTAAATGTATCTTGATTTAAAAATGTTTTGATGTTTCTACTAGAAAAAAAACAAAAATACTGAGTAAGAAAACCATTTTTTTTGCAATGCATGGCCTTTGTTTCGGCATGTAATCTAATCCATGCACATAATGAAAATTTCTGCCTTCGTCTGCTTCATCTTTTGTCTCTCTTGTTGTTTGGTCGTACATTGAGCACCTCGTCTCTGTGCACCAGGAGCGAAGAGATCCGTTAATAGCTCATTTTGTTTTCTATTCAGAGATGGAGCTGATGTTGACCCTTAATCTGTGTGTGCTCATCATCTCCCAGAGCTGAGAAATCAAGTTTTTATGTCTCTGCTGAGCATGCCAACTCTAAATCCTGCTTTGTTTTCAGAGTCCGTGTTCGTGAAATAATAGGTATTTATTACTTTGTCTTGGACTGAAATTCTGACCACTAATCTAAACACATATTGTGTTTCTTAAGTCAAATCACATTCATTTATATAGCGCTTTACACAATACGAATTGTTTCAAAGCAGTTTCACAGTAATAAGCAGTACTAATGTTGCAAAATTCATCAATTATGAAATGATTGTATTGTCTGAGCATCGCTATGTGGAATGAGCTACAGCTTTGCTGTAAGCCAGTTTTATATCATGGTAAATGATTTCAAATTGACTGGCTCGTAAAGTCATATTAAAAAAATAGCTCATTTGGACATGATTGGACTAAATGGGAAGTCCTTTCTGGCGGTGATTATTGTTATTATTCATCAGCAGTGCGCAAAATGTGTAGAACCTAAATTGCACTGTTGATATTCACAATTACAACTTAATTATGACCGATTTGCTTCCTCCTGATTCTTTAATGGACTTTTCCGACTCCGGGAATCATTTCCTGCTGGTAATAATGAGATTGTGGAGGTGTTCATGTGTGCTGATCATCTCGGCGAGGCCTGAAGGCAGCATTAGCTCTGATGTGGACCTGATCTTGTGCTGATAGTCAAACGTCTCTGGATTCATTAACTCTTCTTTTCCATCATACACGAGTCTTAAAATTACAATTCTGATATTTACATGATATGTTATGCTAATAAATATTCAATCTTGATATAAACTTACACTTACAGAGCCAGAGTTGCAGTACTTCATTTGTTTTGACTGTATTTTTTTCTCATGATATTCAAAAATCTTTTGATGTAAAGGCTCATTCTTTGAATACTGGAAGTAGTTTTGGAGCATTTTATTTATTTGTTTAAACTTTTTCATGCATTTTAAATGATTTATTACAAACAATGAACAACACTTTCCTTGACAATGACAGTGGCCCTGTAGCAAACAAGGACAGAGAAAGAAAACACACACACAAAAGAAACATGTCTAGATGCTTACGTATTTATTTAAATATTATCTTTAA